GTGGTAAACGAAATAATAATTTGATCTAAGTAAGAGTTTTTTTTCTTCTTCCCGATTTGTAAAAAATCCTTATGTGATAGAAAAAAAAAAAAGAATATTATTTTCGAAATCTATGTAGCTGACTTATGGAAAATCTGTTATTAAAGCCAAAACAACTTTTATGTAGTTTAAATTCGCAGGCCTGTGTAATCAAAGATCTTATTCAGAACGGTATTCTTCATATTCTTTTAATTTTGATTTTGAGCCGGTCGTGACATAGTGACTAGTGTACCCGGTCTGTACATTAATGGTTCGCGACCCGTTGATGCAACAACGCGCTATGCACTTTGGGGTTGTGGATGCGCTATAAAGTAACAGTTAAATCCCACTATTCAATTAGATATGAGTAGTGCAAGAGTTGTCGGTGAGTGTTGTTTGCTAGTTGCCTTCCCTTAAGGTCGGGTAGCACAAATGGTTCTGGTGTAGCTTTATGCAGCGAAATTTTGAAACAAACCTTTCGATTTTTTCTTAAGTTACAGATGCCATCATGTTTATGTTGTAAGTTATTAATCAGCGTTTCTGTTTTTGTTTTATAGAGTTGTGAGTAAATTTTAAATCTTTTTTTAATTTTTTCTCTTTATTTTAACTTTGGGAAAAATATCTTACAGACCACATTTTTGATGATTGATGTGACTTAACAGTTGCTGGTTGAGTTGAACATGGTTGATAGCTTTGATAAGTAAGGAAAAAAAACAACTAAAAGTAGGGGTTACAACCAGTTTGGTTTTAATTTCGCGCACAGCTCCAGGAGAGCTATGTGCATTAGCCGTCTCTAATTTAGCAGTGATAGATTAAAGGGAAGGCTGCTAGTAAATACTACCAACGGCCAACTCTTTGACCAACATCATAACGCCCCCACATCTGAAAGGGCAAGCACGTTCGGCGACAGGGATTCGAACCTGCGACTCGAGCGTCTTAACCACCAAGCCATGCCAGGCGTCAAAACGTGAATGTTATGATTTTGCTTTTATACTTGTCAGGAATCAAACAAAGGGGGAAAAATTAAATCCTTCACATTATACTCTGTTGGAGGAATTTTTAGCTCAGGATTTATTGCTGTTAAAAATTTAATTTAGTTTGTTCAAGCTAGATCTTAGGTTTACTAATTTTGTATATTTTTCTTCGTATTTTTACAGTCGGTATAAGCAAGTTTCTTCTAAAAGAAAGTAATACAAATCGTCTTGGTTTCCATTGTCTTCCTTTCAGGGATTTGATGAAGCCATGTGGGTTGTAGAAGGCCATGTGGCTCGTTCCAGCTGTCAGGAACTAAGTGTTCGATCTGGCCAGCAGGTGGAGAGAACAAATACTACAGCCTCAGGTTCAGAGTGCTGTATGGTTCGTCAGCAATGCTCTAGTGGTTCTTCCCCTCATCAAGGTCTCGTATCTTCCTCATGTTTAAAACCTGCTCGAAACATGCGTAGTACTATCAACACAGCTAGTATGGATAAAGAAGGTGAGATTTTTTTCGTACGTTGAAATTTTTCAGACCACGCAACATTAGAAATGAATAACAATAACGCTTGTTATTTAGAGTTATAATTTAATTTGTTTTGAAAGCATTACTTACGTAGAATGACAGTACCACTTATTTCTATCATTCTTCACGAATAAGTTATAAAACATCAGTTAGATGAAAAGGTACAATAGATTTTAAAGCACTATTTCTAACAATATAGTTTACTTTTGTAAACTCTTATGTGTGACAGCAAAGAGTATATTATTAAATACATTCTACTTAATAACCCTACTATGATGTATAGCCATAACTAGCTAACGAGCAGGTGATGTTGTAACGCATTATCTCTCTGCCTACACAGGAAGGATGACGAGAGTGATCATATTTTACCTTGCCAGGTTGATGATTGTGATAAATTAGGCACTTATACTAGGTGTACTGTTTTAATTTAGAGCGTGGAAACGGAGGACTCATCTTCCTATAAAAAATCAATTGTAGGAAACAACTAATTATACGTACACACACACACACACACACACACACACACACACACACACACACACACACACACACACACACACACACACACACATACATACATACATAGAAGACATTGCTATCCTTTAACCTAGGGGATAAATCTTCACGTGTTTTGACATTTAAACTTAGCATTATCAACAAAAGCCAGAAGCATAGGATGATTTAATGGTCCTATAGAAATTACATGTTCGTATTGGACTTGCTACGTTTTTAAAAGAACTCTCTGTATTTTATTTTTATTTGTTTGGTTATCTTTAGTTGATTTTAATCTTAATTTTTTTGTAACATTGAGTATTTTGACCAGTATATTTATTACATTTTAACAAGTTTCTGCGAAGGAGACGAGATCAAACTTAGACCACACACCTTGTCAAAAAAACGTTCCATTGTATGTGGACGTCAGCTACTAAAGCTGTCAAGAACTCTATTAGAGTTACATCCAAGGATTTGTCAGTTATATGTCGAATGGACTGCCATATTTCCATCTTCTTCATGAAAATAGCCGTTGAATTGGAGTTTTGGGAATATCTGGTTTATGAACCTTCATTAATTGTAAATGCTTGTTTATTATCTTTCTAATAGTACCAGGAGGCATATCCAACGTCACTGTAATGCTTTTTATTTTTAGGTTGGAGAAACCTCTTTCATAATAATAGCTTGCTCTACTGATGAAAAAATCATTCCTGATTGACTTGGACGTGGTTGATGTTCTAAGCATATCTTTGTTAATTTTTGTACTTTCATGCAAAATTCAGATTTCGAAAATAATATTAATTTTTTTTTCTATCACCTAAAGACTTTTTTACAAATCGGGAAGAAGAAAAGAAAACCTCTTACTTAGATCAAATTATTTTTTCGTTTACCACTATAAACATTTTTTTATTATTATTATTATGTTTGTTAACAAAACTACAAACAAACTGAATAAAAGGGAAGAACATTGATGTCAAACGAAAATGCATCCTCATTCATCCTGATTAATTTTGTGAAATCTACGTCTTTTAGTCTCAAAACTACGTGCTGTGGTCTTTCTTTTATGTATTGCGTTATGAATGTTTGTGACAAATATGTACATGATGGAGAAAAATGGATATCATTTTCGGATTCAGCGTACAGGAATTGCTGTAGAACATGTAAAAATTTCAAGACAATAAAACCATCGCAGGCTTGTGTAATCAGAGTTATAAATGATCATATCGTGCTACTTACTAACCATAAAAGTGAAGTTTTAATAAAATTTACTAAACATCTCGTTTGTTTGTTTTTTCACAATAGTCCGGTTTTGTGGGCACAGTTTTAATCTTTACAATTATATTGGTTGGTCGTTGCTGGTCTGGATCGGTATTTGTCGTTGCACGACCTGGGGGGTCAGGTTCAATCTTAACCTCTTCCTCTCTCCTTGACTGTTGTTATCGACAAATGCTACATGATAATTCACAATAATTAGCGCACATACAATGAAATTTGTTTCACTATTCCTATTTTATGCCACTATTAGTATGTATCTGCTGAACATCGTTCATTCCAAGAGTGAACGAGACAGAACGGAGGTGTTCTCTGAGGAAACACTGATTCAAAAGTTTTTCACAAGTTATTGATTTTGTTTCAAATTCGAAAATAATAACAAAATGTGGTGTAATTGGAACCAGGAAAGTTGTCATGTATGTCTGTTTAAATTATGTTACTAGCTCTTGAAACAAATTTCTTCAATAAACGAACCTTGTATCTTGAAGATAAATTAGATAGTCTTTACAGTTTGGGGTGAGTCGGGCCCACCTTATAGAAAGCCACGCGTGACTTAGTTTATTTCAGATGGTAAAAATGACTGGAGTTATCTTAAGTTGAGTGACTTAACTTTGGTATACTACTTTATTATAGACAGTTAATGTGCTTAACTTCGGTATACTACTCTATTATAGACAGTTGATGTGCTCAACTTCGGTATACTATTCTATTATAGACAGTTGGTGTGCTCAACTTCGGTATACTACTCTATTATAGACAGTTGGTGTGCTCAACTTCGGTATACTACTCTATTATAGACAGTTGGTGTGCTCAACTTCGGTATACTACTTAATTATAGACAGTTGGTGTGCTCAACTTCGGTATACTACTTAATTATAGACAGTT